AATTAAACATTGTAACAAATTCTCAATAATTTATTCATTTTTATAGTTCCAATCATATTAAAATTATTTACAAGCAATAGTGGAATGAAATTAAAACAATTATAATAGTGAGTGAATGATAAGCAGATAGAACAGTAATATAATATATATACACATGCATATACAAAATTTGGCATAGAATTTTTTATGAATTGATTTATAATATATTTCATGATACTATTTATTAGCTTATAATTTTAATAACAAGTTTCCCAATAAATGAGTGACAGGTTGATAACTTGAACAATTCATCAGTATATTCAAAAATTATTATGGTAATTTTATGATTATTTTTTGATAGGCTTGTAAAGCAGTTAAAAAAAACATAATACATAATTTTGGAAGTTATATTATTTTAATTTCATTTTTATTTTGTTTTTTTGCTAGATTGTCTATCATTACAATATTTAGAAATTCCATATTTGGTAATAATCCTGATTGTATTAGTTGTGTGACATGTCCTACAGATCAACAATGAAGTTTATTTTCCAGTGATCTATACAATTTTTTATTAATAAAATTTCGAATTGAATGTCTTCATACCCTCGTTTGACACCCTTGTTGTTAGCAATTGCCACCAAATTTAGTACATAACTTCTTTGTCATATGTATCTTTAAAAACTTTTTGAAGCAAGTTGTTAATAAAACTGAAAATAATCTCAGCCTTAGAGTCAAATTTTGACTTTATATTCATATATGTAGAAATTTGTTAGTGTGTGCGAAGGTAAATAAATATTTATAGAATCATGTTCACTTTGCTTCCTAAAGTATGTCTTTATACTACTATCATTTATTTTAACAAATAAAGTATGGTTTATACTAATATATTAAATTTTAATTATGGAGGCCAAACATTTTATAGTAAAACTTTATTATGGTGTGAAAAATGATTGATTTTTATGAGCAATATTAATATTGGATGTAAGGAGTTGATTAGAGTTGATGTTTGATTAATAGAATTTATTAAAACTTGTAAATATGAGTTTACTTAATAGAAATGTCAAAGAATAACTACAGTCAAACCTCAATAAGCTGAACTTTTGGGAATCACAAAAATAGGATCAGCTTATCAAAATTCAGTTTATGATACAAACAGGGCTGGCAGCATAAAGTGTTAAAAGCCTAATTTAGTAATAATCATCTTGACTAAACTTGACTAAACTTGATTGCTGATAAAATGGTAAGATTATGAATTAGTAATGTACATAAAGCAACACAAAAATTTGTATGTGCTACATACCCTTGTAATACAGTTTTGAGTTAATCACCAGTCCATGTTCTGTTTGAAGTTTTCCATATTTCTGAACAAAATTTGTAGTTGACTTTGTAAGCAATGTACAATCAAAACCCTCGTTTCAACGGATTATTGGTTTTACCCCTTGATTTTATTAATTAAAAAATTCTTATTTCAACGGATTTTATAATTAAATCGCGTTTCAACAGACAATGGATTTTTTGGTAGGATTTTAGTAATAAGTACTAATCGCGTTACAACGGATTCACGTGATATAGATTTTATAAAAAAAAACACATTACTATGTTAAGATTAATTCATTGCTAAATAATAATATAAACAAATTGAATAATTCTAATGAATAATTCTCATATTACTATTACTATTACTAAATAATAATATTAATCAAAACTTTCCATATTTCTAAATAATGATTTTGCACAAATAATTAAACACACATTACCAAATAATATTAATCAAAATTTTCCATATTTCTAAATAATGATTTTGCACAAATAATTAAACACATATCACTAAATAATAATATTAATCAAATTTTCCATATTTCTAAATTGATAATAAATAAATATCTTCTAATAATTCTACATAATCAACATTTTCTTTGATTTCTTTAAATTAATAAATCTCTAAATTCTACGAAATTAAAATGTCTCAACAACTATCTTCTTCTTCCAAAAAATGTGAAAAAGCTTTTGAAACTGCTTTTAATTTTCTTGAACAAAATAATATACAAGCAGATTATAATGAATTAAAAGCTTTAAAATCATTGAAAAAAAAAACAATAAATTCATATAGTATTCAAAATTCAATACAACAAACGTTACTAGTTTTTTCAGTAAATAACTGACTATTAATTAGCATTTAATTTTTTGTAAATTATATCAAGTATTATTTATTATATTTAAATCACAAAAAACTTTATTATTATTAAAATTTTCCTGTTGATCCTGTAGATCATTATCTCGTTTCGACGGATTTTTCGTTTCAACGGATTTAGGTGGTCAGTCCCATAGATCCATTGAAACGAGGTTTGACTGTACATGAAAAAAAGAAACATCTCACTTAATGCAATCGATGCAGACATTCCATCATGGAAAAATATTGTATAATTTGGTCATTAAGTATCAGATTACACCATTGTAACCATCAAATGGAGAATCATGTTCCCTCAGCCACCATCAGACAAAACCTATTGACGGGATGGTCATCCCTGATATGAAATGGTCACATAAATTTTCTATGTGTGATTTCCACAGGATTTGTGAAATACATCACAAATCTGTAGGGATGGGGACGGTTTATGTCACGTCCGGCGACGAATAATATTTTTATAATTGATCCGTAACGATTAATTACTAAATTTTAAGTGACAATTAACTTGTTTTGGCAATATAAATATCACCTGTATTCGTAAATTCGTAATGCAAATTCTTATTTGAATCATTTGTTTTATTTTGAATCATTTGTTTTATTTCAAATCATTTGTTTTATTTCAAATCATTTGTTTTATTTCAAATCATTTGTTTATTTCAAATCATTTGTTTATTTCAAATTATTCAAATTATTCATTGATTCAAATTATTCATTGTATCTGAATAGAAACCCTAGTTCTGGTCAAGGGCAAGGTTTTCTATTATTGCAGGCAAGTTCTGGTCAAGTGTCTCAGTTTTCTTTCCAGATTAAGGTTGTGGGCGAAACCTCTTAATGACTGTCGAAACTCTGTCGAAACTCTAATGAACAATTAATGTGTAACCTGTCGAAACTCTGATGATTGGCGAAAACCCCAAATGCGAAACTCTGCCGAAACTCTAATAAACAATTAATGTGTAACCTGTCGAAACTCTGTCGATTGATTTCTGGAGGAGTTTCTCCCGCAACCTTATTCCAGATTTGTATGCTCTAAAAAAAAAAATAGAAATATACTACTTGAGCATCACTACAAGCAATATAGTAAAGCCAAAAGGGTTGGCCAAACCATTAATCACCATAAAGGATTATGAATCAACCACACTAGCTTTATTAATTGATTATAGTTTTTATTATTAAATGTATATTTGAAGGAAATTTCAAGTATATTTATACTTCTTGAAGTATTACAAACAACATGACTTTTTACATGATTTTGTCCAATAAAATATAATAAATAGAATGATTAATAATGAATGACTAATATTAATTATTAATGTTAAATGCCAAAATGCATCATTGATGATGACATGATATACAATGAATAATCGGGATCTAATTTCATATCTGATTTTTATAACTGAAAAATTAAAAATAAAAGCGAGTTTGTATAATTAATGATAAATAATGAAAATTTTTGATTAACCATAAAGAAGTGACTCGCCTTAAGCCATATGCATCATTATTTGACTCATTTTGCTTTTTTTGTCCTATTCATTGAAGACATAGTTAAACCGACCGAATATTCTTCCTTTTATTTTCATTTTATTTTTTTTTTTGTACAAATTTTTCATCTGCACAGGATGATGAATTTGCATAACATTGCATAATCAAGTAAAATTGCCAAATAATCAAAATTTAAAATTTAAAACATCAAAAATGGTTGCATAATCACATAATTGTTGCATACTGTAATAGTAAAGTCTGGAAAGACAGCACCCATGTAATGTTGTATGACAAAATGTTTTTGGAATTGAGAAACTATTTCATCAAATGCATTAAAAAATGACAAAAGACTAAACCCTTGACAAGACAAAAGTCAAAACCCTTGATTCAATTCCCAAAATCTCAATTTTTAATCGCATCTGACTCAATTATTTATATTTTTCATATGACTCAATTAAATTGCATCAAAAAGTCACCTGATTGAATCAAGTGATCAATATATTTCCAGCACATATAGAATTTGAGAAAAATGATTCAATACAATGTCACTGAGGGATTTTGGGACATTGTGTAGCCGACTCTCTAGAAGCTTAAAACCTGACCTGACTTTGTTATGTAGGTGCAATTCATTTTTGCTTGTTATTATGATAAGTCTATGCAATCTATTACAATAATTCAAATCCCTCACTTCCTCCTAATACTAAGCAAAAAAAGTATGTCAACTAGAGAGGATGAGGGCGAAATTATGAATGTCAAAACTTTGATCATGTGATTTACTACGCCACTTCCGAATGATTTTTCTTTTTTTTTTAGCATAGTAATAGTAATAGATAGCAATTCATTGGAATTAATATGTTGATACAAAATGACCAATTAAAGCAACATCATATCTGAACAATTTGTGAAAGAATATTTTTGAAAATTTAATCATATGCCCTGGGAAGGGTATAAACCTAGATAGTAGTGGTAGGACACTTATATAGAATCTCGGCACCTCAATCTGATGAGATTAAATTTATCCTTGGGCAATTGGTTCAAGATCCTGATTCAATGTTGACTTCGATTCAAACTGAAGATGTGTAGCAAAATTTAATGAAGAACCACTCAAGCATCAATTTCTCCATGGAGAGAATCAGTTGGAGGCTCATAGTTATGGATTAGAACTTCCATTAGATGAGTTGATAGCAAGAATAAAATGATTTATAATCCTCTTTGATGTATTTGAATATGTTGGGTAAAACTTCAAGTGCGTAAAATTCATCATTTTTTTTATTATTATTGAAAAAAAAAATTTTAAATTTTCCGATTTATATATATTATATATATAAATAGTAATAATCAACGATGATTGATGATGAATGAACATTACAAAAAAAATTTTCAACTTTTTGAAAGTATTTATTATGAACCTTCAAAAAAAGAATTTGCATATCTTGAAGGACATTTTAAAAGACTTTTAAACTCTGTTGAGTTTTTTTCAAATAATCCAGAATTCTTGGAGAATAATTTTATAAAATGTTTAACAAAATTACAAAATATCAACAATCATTTTGAAAATTTATTGCTTGATGCTATCAAAGAACACAGCAAACTTGGAGAAAATGTTAAACAAATTGTAAAACTATGTGTTGATAAAGATGGAGAGTTTTCTTTTTTTTTTAGAAAATTTGAACCAATTATTGCTGGTAAATGAGTATATTTCTTTTTGATTTGAATTGCGAAATTTCCAAGAAATTAATTATTGATTAATTATAGAGCCTGTGGAAATAATTTTAGACAACCAACAATCAGTTTCATCAGACAACATTTTTTTATATCATAAAACAACAAATCGTGATATTTATAATGAAGCACGCAATCGTAGACTTTTAAATAATAATAAATATGGCAATTTATTTGATGTACTTTTATATAATGAGAAAAAGCAAATCACTGAATGTACTATTACCAACATTGCTGTCGAATTTTATATCAACAATGAACAAAAAAGTATTTGGAAAACTCCAAAGATTGAATGTGGGTTATTGCCAGGAGTGCTACGAGATTATTTAATAAAAAATAATGAATTGATTCCTGACATAATTACAATTGATGATATAAAATTAGCTCAAAAGGTAATCTAGCACTTTTTTCGAATGGTAACATTATAGTTATTATATTATTAATATTATGTGATGAATATTTATAGGAAAATAGAAAAATCAAATGTTTTAATTCTGTACGAGGAGAATTTCAAGCAATTATTATTATCGAATAAAAAACAGGGTTCATTATAAATCAAGAAAATGTATGAAATTGCATTTACCCGATATTGGTGACTGCTGTTTATTCAATGTAATATAACACTAACTCCTTTTACTGTCAGATTTAATAAAACATCCTTTCATTTCATGCAAATGCTTGGGGTTTGTGAAGCAATGGAACTGCATGGGAGAATATTGCTTGGATCCAAAACCTAATACTCCAAACGAAACAAAATGAAACAAATTTTGAGTGATTCAATTCGATTCAAATCAAAAAAAAAACTGAATTTGATACAATTTAATTCGATTTGTGAGTCAATTCAATTCAAACCAGATTCCTAAATATTTTTTTAATGTGAATCTCAATCCATTGTATCCCAATTTAATACTAATGGAAGAATTACTTTCTCAATATAATGGATTTCTTGGTATTAATATATTTTGAAAAAAATTTCTAATTTCCTAAACTATCTGCTAACCAAGGTTGTGTATTTTTAAATTTAAAATTTTTTAATTGATAAAAGGTATTATTTAGTGATGGTGGCCGAACCTCTCAATCAGGAGACTTTATTGGTGTAATTTAATTGTAAAAAACACAAATGACTGGGTCCAGATGCAATTAAAAATTGAACCAAATTAATTTTGACAATATGTATAGCAAAAATTATTTTTGAAAAAAAGGCAGTTTCACACAATATTATGGTAGCTCAATATTTTTTATAATAACGAACATATATATAACGAGTATCTAAATCAATCTACTTAAATTAGTTTAAGTTTGGACCAGTTGATTTTGGCGATTTCACCTCAATAGGTAAGATAATTTCAACCACCATTACCAATATTATTGATAACAATAATGATAATGTAATGACGAATAAAAAAGTAATGCAATTTACAGTTGCATAACTCATTACTGCATTAATTAAAATCAAAATTCGGATTTGATTCAATCAGATGATTTGATTTGATTTGAACCGATTATTCATTCAGAGCCTTACAAGGCCCTTGACTAAAAGTAAAGAATAGGTACTTGTGTTTTTTGGTTGCACCAATAATATATTTCTCAAAGTATTGCATATTTTTGTGGACCGAATGAATTACCCAAGCTAAATCACAAAGCCACCACCACATCCACCAGAGTATGACGATTATGGCCCCTTTGAATTCCGCAACTTCCTAAGCAAACTTGTGACAAGTAGCTCAGATAATCCACCTATCAACACAAAAGCAATAATTTAAAGCCAAGAAACTGAACAAAGGACTTACTCCCAGAACTGTGAACTCTTTCAATTCTTCGTAAACAGGCTCTTCAATAATGGAGAAAATTGCAATTCAGAATTTCAGGCCCTTCTTGATGGTTTGCTGGAATTTCTTTTATCCATAGTAATAAATGGCATAGTTGCCAGCTGTAATTTTTGATGATGATTGTAATCACCATTTTTTGTGTTATATAAAAATAAATGATTGCAACACCTGATTGCAAAAGCGGTTGCAACCAGGTATACGTGGAGTCATCATACCATATAAAAAATTGTCAGAAAATGTACATATTTGTCAGAAAATGCACAGGAAAATGTACAGAATGTAATAGTAATTTTTCAGGTCATTTTCCGAAAATTCCGTACATATTCTATGCATTTTCAGGGCAAATATGTACGGAAAAAGCGCTCTTTTTAATGTATAATTCTGTACAGATATATGCGGAAAATATATGGAAAAATCATACATTTTCTGATTAAATTTTTATAGGAATATGGTTCTAAGCTCTTTTCATTTGTAAAGATGGATGGATTACCTCTTTTTGATGAAGGATGAATGCTTTCTTTAATGTTTATCCCCTTGACAACCAAAATCCAAAGCCTTGCATCCCCTAAATTTAATTGCAACAGTATATCCTTGGAAAGTCAGTCAGATCAACCTTATGCCCTATAAAAAATTTGGTACGAATTTCAGGTAAAATTCCGTACAAATTCCGTACAGTTTCCATACATTTCCGTACCAAATTTTTTATAGAGATATGTACATGAGGGAGATGAACATTTTAATATTTGAGCTTTAATATCTGTAAATTTCCAACATCAAATAATTTTGTAATAATAAAAATTATTTAATCAGTTTCTATATAATAAAAGTACACTGCATCCAAGTTTTTAAAAAACCATAATTTTAATTGAAACATGAAAAAAAAACTAAATATACAGAATAATGAATTTTATTATTATTTTATTATTATTTTTATAAATTATATAAAAATTAATGGTTTTAATTATAAGGAGGTGCTTGGAGAGAAAAATTTATAATTAATTTATCTCTATGAATCGCGAATGAATTTATTTGTTGTTTATATTTATTATTATATTTTTCTGGCCACGATATCCATGAATCTACCCTTAGCTACCATAAATTGGATAGAGCCTGTTCCAGAAGAAGTTTTGACGTACTGTATATATACATCAGGTTTTCACAAATTTTTGTTTCTCAATTAAAATTGCAATACATGGATAGGTAAAACTAACATGAATAAGGTTGCTTGTCGAAGCCTTTAATGACTGCTGAAACTTTGCTAACAAACAATTAGTGTGTAACCTTCCGAAACTCTAATAATAATAAACAATAAACAATCTATGGAAACTCTGCCGATTGATTTCCGGAGGAATTTTGGCAACCATAAACATGAAGCTACCAATTGATATAATAATTAAAAAAAATTTTGGGAAGAAAATCGTGGCAAGAAACGTAACATTTTACTTTGACAATTGTGTTACGTATTATATTCTCTACCTCTTTAATATTAAAATAAAAAAAGTCATTAAATAATAAATTAATTTATGATACAATAACACAAACTATCGTCACTACTTGAAAACAACGTCAAAATATTATTAATACAATCATCAAACCTACCGCCGAAGATAACAATAAGCTTATTTCAAAAATAAACGCAACAACACAGTAATACCATTCCAAGGGATCCATGCCTAACACAAGTTAAATCGCGATTTAATTAGTAAATGGAAAGGACATCTGCTTAATTAATAACCTAAATGCTAATCAATCATAAATAGAATAAATTCATGTAATTTCTTCCTTGTATATGAATATTTGTTTGATAATAACAAACAACAATAACAACAATAGAGCACTGCATTAATTTTAAAAATATATATTTAAAATGGAAATATTTAAGCGTAATTTAAATAAGAATCGATAAGATATTAAATTCTGCTTGAATTTATTTTAAGTGTCATAGGGATGAATTACAGCTCAACAAAAAACCCTTTCAACGTTAATTAATATTAATTACAAATTTTTTGCGCCAATCCCTTTTTGTTTCGGGGGATATATATTTATCTCCCCAAGTTAAAAGACTGACTGACCTTCGAAAATTGTCTGCATGCGGTGATTTCTTTAGAATATTTATAAATTGCAATAATTAAATGCATACACACAATCAGGGATTTTATATGGGGAATATGCCAATATAATTATGTTTTTATTATGTAAATATGGTTTGATATTTTCAACTCACTTTCTCTGCAACAGTATTTTTTCTAAACCAAATGGTCAATGAACCGTTTTATCTAAATAAAACAAAACCATAATTCGAGGCCGATATTTGGAATTCTAAAAAATGAGGAGTTAATTTTGTGCCAATCTTTTCATTGAAGGTCGAAGAAAACTTTGGCAAGAGCTTTATATAACTTCCAAAGTTATAACAATATGTGTATTTTTTAATTGCCCAATTATCCTATCTAGGATTAAGAACGCCATTTCCAATTAGTATATAGCATATTACTCTAATAAATCAGTAGTTCAATTTATAATAATTTTTTTCTTGGAATAATGTTATTTCATTTTGGTCTTAAAAATAAAAACAAAATATCTTATTAAGAAATAGAGGTGTTCATTCATATATCGTGATTATTGTGTTAAGTGCTTCTTCCATTTTAATGCATATTAGTGGATGCACAATGTATAAATAAAGGAAATTGAACTGTGCTCCCGAAAAGGAAATTTTGAATTGATACAAGTTTTATATGCCTGTGGAATTTTAAATAAAATACAGTTATTTCTCAAAATGTCATTTCAAAACATGGTTCATTTCTATTCAAAAAACTCCCATACAAAATTCTCTTATTATTCGAATTATTATTGTTTGTTTATTCGAATCATTTGTTATTATTATTATTATTATTATTATTATTATTATTATTATTATTATTATTATTTGTTTATTCGAATTATTCGTTTTATTCGAATAAAATTCAGGGCTGGCAGCATAAAGGGGTTAAAAAACCTAATTATTAATGATTACCTTGACTAAAATTGACTTAACATATGACTAAATAGTTTAGCCAGTTTATCCAAGTACTCATTTGAATTACGCAGCCAACCCTGATAAAATTTCAGCGTAATTAAATAAACCCTATAGTTATTTTGTGAAATGAAGAAATTATAGGTTATAAAACCCTACACATTTTTTTTTTCTAGGAGTAAAAACCATTTAATTAATATTCGTAAAAAACAGGAAATTTTTGATTTGCTACACGATTCAAATTAAATAATAATAATATAAATATTTTCCAATTAAGGAAAATCCTATATATAGGGCTGGTCCTGTGGCTAAATATCCTAATTTGAAAGTATCGATTTTGTGGCTTCTATGATCTGCGCGAACCCTTGCTAAATTCATGTGCGTGATGAATAATGTTTTAACAAAATCATGCCATCATCATTATCAATGATTCTTTATTTAACAAAATTGTGAGGAAGTCATGAGTGAAAAATTCTTAATAGGAGATGAAAAAGGAGATCTAAAATGATACTGTCTAAGAAATAAAAGTAAAATTGCATTATCCTTACAATAAAACGAATGCTTCAAAATTTAATATTATTATACTTAATCTTCATAAGAATGACTCTTGAAATGACGAAACCGTCTTGTACAGAATATACAGAACTTCATGTATATTTTCCCTTTATAGACAGAATTATACATGGGGATGGCAATTGTTTTGCCAAAAACGTAATACGTAATATGTAATTTCGAAGTTAATTACGCGCGACGAAGTTAATTACGCGCGACGAAATTAATTACGCGTGACGAAATTATTCATTGTAGAAGTAATTAATTATAATTCATAAGTTTGATGTTTTATATTTAAAAAATAAATATGCTTTTTTACACTTTATAAAGCATTAAATAGAAGTACTAACATAAATTTTAAAATTTTTCAATTTTGTTAAACAATAAACAATATCTCGTCTTTGAAATAAAAATCAAAGATATTGTCTCCATGAGTAATTTCATAAGCAAAATAGGGCGCGTGTATGCAAAATTGCTTAAAATAAAACATGTTTTCTACAAACAGGCACTTTAAAAATACAAGTTGTTATTTTATTTATTTTATTATCCTAAAAATGATGTTCTTTAAATATAAGAAAATTACATATTGATATTGTGAGGACGGAAAGCGGCTAGCTCACAAGGAAGCAATAATATTGGTCAAACTTTCTGATAGGACATTTTATTTAATTCTTTTTATTTTTACTTAATTAATCCTAAAAAATCATTACAAAAATTAAGTCACTTTTGACTAAGCGAAAAAAATAACAGGTAATCAATTAATATTTCAGAGCCTTGCTAATAAGTAAGGCAGAAATATTTATTTATTATCATTAACTTAATTCACTTTAAAAATAATTCATAAATAATAACAAATAAGTAAATTCATTATTTCACTTATAAAAACACTTTCGTAGTTGGAAACTAAATAGTAGGGCTTAATTGTCCAGTTAGTTATCAGAGTGACATAGAACTCTGAGGTTTTGTTTATTTGCTTTGGTATAAATCAAAGGTTTTGACATTGGTTAACCAGTGTAGTATTAACAATGGGTTGTATAGAAAACCTTCAGTTTCTTTAATGTCAACTGCATTTATTCTGTATTATGATATTTCGTCGTTATTCGTAATTAATTCCATCGAACATAGTTTTGTCAACTGTAATTAATTTCGTCACTCATAATTAGTCGCTTGTAATAGTAATTAATTTTGTAATCGCGTTTTTAAAGAGGGAAATAGTAATTAATTGTGATAATTACGAATTACATATTTATGGTAATTAGGTAATTTACCATCCCATGTATAGTGGAATAACATTGAAAATGATATTTCCCATAATTAATTTGCTCATAAATTTTAATTCCGTGCTTACGTTTTTAAAGATGGAAAGTGATAATTATTTACAATATTTATAAATTACATATTTATGGTAATTAGATAATTACCATGTATAGACAGAATACTTATAGATGGAATATACAGGACCATCTTATACAAATACACAAAACCCTCCTTATATTTTTCTTTATAGATGAAAAAGAGGCATCAGGATAGTAATAGTTGTTAAATAAATTTGCAAAATAAATTAATTGAACAAATTGAATATAAAAAGCCTGCAATTAATCGATGAATGTTGCCCAAAAGTCAACCAAATCTCAGCCATAATTGAACAAAGGTTACCTAAAACATTATTATGAGTTAATAATTACACATGGTTAACAAAATCATAGAAGCCACCAATTAGAATTTCCAAATTAGGAAGTTCCTGTAATGATTTAGTCACAGGACCGGTCCCAACTAGTATATAAAGACAATAAATTTTCCTTTTACTCGGGTCAAGTTATTTGCTTTAACAAAATAACAAATAACCTTCAAGATTAAAAAAATATCAACCTCTGTAGAGAGATCTTTTGTAAAATCACGAAAATTAAACCAAATTTTATAAATTTTTCATAACAACACAATCACAATGAAAACAACATCTTTATTGGCCACTTTTGTGTTGTCCGTTTTTATTACTATCGCTTCTTCATCTGAGATACTTATAGAAGGTGAAATTGAAGTTGAGTATTGGTGGTCTTTACCTGCTCAAGCTGAACAAGAAGTTTCAGGAACAGCATACTTCCTCCAGGCTACACCAACAATTTGTAGGAGCATTATGCATTTTGATAGAGGGTTTATCTCAAAAGACCCTGACGATTATGAATTCACTATTGATTATTTTGATGTGAGCGAATATTTAAGAAGTGAAATCCTAATTAACACACCTGGAACTTCTCCGTTTTTGCTCGATTTTACAGAGTTTTTTTGTCAACAAATCGTTGACAAAAGGTTTATTATTAAATATCGTGGAATTACAATTGGTGATAATATAATTAGGAGACTGTAATAAAATAATATGTTAAAATAATAAATAGAGCTTTAGATTTTTTTCTTTTTTTTAAAAAATGCATACCGTATTCTCTGGAACATAAACACCACTCAAATATAAGCACCAGTATGAATTTGCAATGAAAAAACAAAAAAAAAACAAAAAAAAATAGAAAACAAATATAAGCACCACATATATTTCGAATTATTTTTTAATTTGATTTTATTTTTATATAATAAATAAAAAATAAGATTTTTTTTATTTTGGCTATTCTTTTCCAGAATCATCAGACTCCACCTCTTCTAATTCATCTAATTCAACAGTTGAATCATAATTTCATCCCCATCATTTTGCCTAATAATAGGAAATATAAATGTAACACATTATCTGAAATAAAATGTTTTGAATATAAGCACACCCACAATTTTGTTGACCAAAACACGTCAAAATGATGGTGCTTATATTCCAAAGAATACGGTATTCATATTAATGTTTGTGCAATTAAAATACATGCCATTTCATATCCTTGTCCATTCGTCCATCCACTTCTATTTTATTACTTTTTATTGTTGTCATTAGTCTGAGATATAATGCGGCATCGAACTTGGAAGGGGTAGTAGCAGGTGTAACTACTAATAAGAGCACAATGTTGAATAAAAAGCTCATAAAAATAATAAACACAATGTTATCCAATTAATCCGCTTTAAAAAAATGATTGTTGAAAAATGATTTTACACACAATTTTGGTTCATATAATAACAAGCTTACAAATGAGGACGCAATGCAAGCTTTTGCTACGCGAGAACAAAAATTCAATTATTTTAAGTTGGGTTTGGATTTCATCTTCTTTGTCGCAAAAAGCAAAAAAATGACATCACTCAGCCAAGACAATAGTCTATTTTATTAAATTCAAAACATATAAATAGGACAGCCATCACCTCATTTTTTTTTTGTAAAACTTGAATATTTTCACGAAACAAAATTGAATCTTAATCTTAATTATCATCCTCGATTTCATTGTTGTTGCTTTCTACTTGTTTCTATAATAATAATGCTTTCTCATAATTGATTGGGTATACTGTAAGTATCACAAACATAGTAATAGGGGAAATCAAATAATAGTAAGGGTTTTGTATCACATAAATATGTTGATCAAATATTTTTTTTGCTTTTAACGATCGGGAAACTTAAACGTTTATAACTTTGGAAGCAAAATAGCTACAAAGAAAATTGAAAATGATTTTGATTAATAAGAATCTTTTCTAACGTAGCAACGCTATTTTTTTTTGTTTAATATGATTTTTTTCAAATTTATATGTATGTATTGACAGTAGAGATGTTAATCGATTAATTTTTCGTAATCGATAATCGATTTTTGCATTGCAAATAGTAGTAGTAGTATTAGTAGCTTTATTTGATTTATGCTTATGAGTTATCAACTTTTACATATTACAGTATTAATAAAATGAAATAATATAGGTCACATGTCCAAAACATGATTGGATGTCACATCAGTAAATTCCGTTTTATTTACAACATAAATTTTAAAATTTTATTTTTTATTATTCTTTGACGGGTAAAAATTATCAACAAATTTTTTGTTCCGTTTCAAAAAAAGAATATGGTCAACAGATTGTGAGCCAAGTCTATTTCGTAACAAAGTAATTTGTTGTCCTGCATCAAGGAAAAGCCTTTCCGAAGGAACTGATGAAGAAGGAAATGCCAAATATTTTTTGGCTAAAATAGCAAGTATTGTGAATTTTTTTTCATTATCACACCACCATTTTGATGGCTCATTTTCTTCAACAGGAAGCACTTGGGGTATATTTTTATATGATTCAAATTCATCTCTGTTTAGTTCGGCTATTTCTCTAGTTGATACTGAAAAAAAGGAGGCCATTGCAGAATTTTTATTAATTGCTTGTACAGGCTGTGTAAAATTGGGTGATGATGTGGTAGAATATTTTATTTCTTCATATATGATTTTAAATTCTATTAGAGGCATGTATTAATAATAAATTAAAAGTAAATACAACAAAGAAATTTTAAATTTATAAATTTATAGAAAACTCGCTCTTTGATAACTACTCAAATTTTTGAATCTTAAATCAAAAAATGATGCAAAAACAAGAGCATTGTTAGGTGAAGGCCACCTCATTTCTGAATCCTCTAATATAATTTTTCCAATTTTTACTGCTTCAGGATTCTGAATCATATTTAAAATTTCATGTGACTTTTTGATTAATTCGTATATTGTAGGATACACCAAATCCGCAGAGCAATAATTAGATGTGCACACTAATTTTGTTACTACTTCATAAGGATATAAAATTCTAACCAATTGTGAGATTAATTCCCACTCATCTGCATCCAGATATAATTCTGATAAATGTGCACCTCTTCGCCTTACATTGGCATAATTTGATTCATTTGATAATGTTGTCATGAGTGTTTGAATTGCATTTTTTAAATAAATTAAACGTTCAAAGCAATACAAAGTGCTATTCCACCTTGTATTATTTGCTTGGATGACATCAAAGAATTGAACATGTGGTTCTTCAGGATCTAAAAAAATTAATGAATTTCCATCTGATGTTTTGATTTCTAACATTGAATTATTAGAAGCAGAAACAGATTTTTGTTTATTTTTTTTTTGTCTAACACCACTTATTTGTAGTTGTCCTATTTGTAATCGATGTTGTTGTTTTAAAAATAATTGTGCATCTTGAAGTTGTTGTTTTTTTTTATCCTCACTAGTGTTGATTGCCAAAACTATTTTGAAGAGGCGAAAATCAAAATTAAAATTAAAAGTTATATGTCAAAACTAAATCAAAAGTCAATAGTCAAAAATCAAAACTAGTTTCGACTTATGGCGTAACCTTTTAACTTTCGCACAGTTGCGAAACTCTCTAATTTTAGAAACCAACACTAACATATACCTAATTATTATCATTAACTATGTTTTTGATGAGTGTACACTCATCAAAAACATCAAGGATTATCGGATAAGAAAACCAAAATTACAAATTTTTTTTTTAATTGGCCGGAAATTACTTAACAACTAGCTTTTAAACTAATTGTTGTGAAAATTGATAATAGAACATGTTTTTGCATTGGTTTTTAATGAAAAGTTCAACGATTGTAAGTTGTCAACCAACTAAGGTTGTGGGCGAAACTCCTCCAGAAATCAATCAATAGAGTTTCGGTAGGTTACACGTTAATTGTTTATTAGAGTTACGGCAGAGTTTCGCATTTGGAGGTTTTGTCAATAGTCAGGGTTTTGACAAGGTATATACAAATTGTTCATTAGAGTTCGATAGAGTTTCAACAGTCACTAAGAGGTTTCGACAAGAAACCTTAAACCCACCTATATCTGAATAATTGATAAAACATTCATTTATTTTGTAAACAACTTCACAGATCTTGCCTTTAACACTCATTTCAATCATTCCTATACAAAATATTGAATAATTGATAAAACGTTTATTTGCAAATCTTAATTTGCAAACTTCTTGACATTGTATTTAACACTTATTTTGTTTGCACCTATACAACTATTGAATAATTATTTAATTAATAGAATTTGTCCAATAAAATGTTGTAAACTGTATATATCCCATGCACAACATGAAATATATGGCTCATTTCCATTACTGCACTCGTCTCGGGGTAAGACATGCAATGGTGAACCCATGTGACTCACTTAAATGTGTTACTAAAGTCCAGCAAGTAAGAGAATGGAACTCTTGCTGGGTGTATTGGCCCTTTGCGACATGACCTCTCTCTTTTGTTAATTTTTATTGTTTATTTATTTGAAGGAAACAATTTAAAAAAAAGAGATAAAACTCGTTAATTGATTTGATTGATTACATTTGTAATATATGATCCATGAGAAAGCATTATTATTATAGTAACAAGTAGCAAACAACAATGTATCATCATTTTTTGAGGTGATAATAAAGATTAAGATTCGATTTTGTTACATGAAAATACTCAAGTTTTTCAAAAAAAAAAGTGGGGACAGCTGTCTTATTTATATGTTTTGGATTTAATAAATAGACTACTGTCTTGGCTCGAGTGATGTCATTTTTTTTGCTCTTTACGACAAAGAAGATGCAATCCCAAACCAACTTAAAATAAATGAATTTTTGTTCTAGCGTATCATGGTGTGCATGATTTGTAACACGAAAAGCAAAAGCTCGCATTGTGTTCTCAGTTGTTTGATAATAATTATAAAATAACTTTTGTTTTCTGCACAAACTTGATGTTATTGGCTAACACAAACCCACTCAAAGTAAATACGCGCAAAAAATTTTGAATTGATCTACAAATAATTTATTTTTTAAAAAAAATTTGTATCAAAACAACAAGAAATCTTTATTGTACGGCAAAAGAACTAAAATGTATAAGTATTACTTAAAAGAGCATGCGGGTTCATAATCATATAGCCGTTTATATAAAATCCATTCTAACTTGTAAGTGAACGTGGATTTATTTAAAATGTCCTTGCCTTGTTTGCAAAATTCTGATCTATTTTACTTTTATATTATAGATAGATAGTTTATACGGTCATTTGGATAGCGATGATATGCTATACAATGATTTACAGAGTATGAAATCATCGTCAAAACTTTTTATTTCAGATCAGAGTCTCATCTATTCAGGTTTCTAGAGCTGATGTTATTAGAATTACTAATTCACGAATTTATCCTGGGCTGAAATCTCAAATAAATTCTGTTAAACTCAACGGAATTGCTAAATAAAAACAATTGATCAAAGTAGTTTGCAACTTCTGATATGGAGGAGTTTATCATCATGCATTGGTGATTTTTAGCATATAGTCTCTAAATTTGTATTGTTTTGAACGATTCCAAAGCAAGATAAGAAGAAAACATCTATTGCGGTAATTGCCTTTTAGGGAAAAGACTAAAGACTCCTTATAAAGAAGAGCAAATCTGCAGAGATAATAATTATTGGAGTAGAGTTATTACGATCTTTAACAAATCTGGAATTTGCTGTGGCGGCTTTGCCAAGAATAGATTATTACAATGATATAAATAAATAACCAGTTCGTCGACAAAAAAAATTTGATTTGGATTTTTAATTTTCTAGCACATTTCTATTTATTTCCATAATTTACGGAAAATTTTTTTCACAGATATATATATATCCTCCTTGTCACAAATCACATTATGGCTCTCGAAATTTATATTCCATTCACTCTAACCGAAGTACAAACTTTTTCTGGTTTTATTCTCTGTTTCTTGGGTGTTGGATGGTTCTTTTTCTTATCAGCTGTCATAAGATATAATGCATCAAGACGGATTAGAAAAGTTAATTCAGTGCCAGTTTTAGTGACTATATTGCCACTTAATGTAATTGATGTTTTTAATTTGTTGCGTATAAAAAGAACAGCGTTAACAGTGGTTATTTGCTTACTGGTGATACTTGGTTTAGCACTCACACATTTTGATAGTATGATTATTGTAAATACTATCGGTTATGTTGAATCATGTAAGACAGTTGTTGAAACAACTCGGGCACAAATAACCACAGAGAATTTTCAGGTTGCAGTTGCATCATATGTTGAAACAGATGCAATGTTGCAGAAAAGAAACAAAAGTGGAGTTCCAAGTGGAGTACTAGTAGGACAAATTCCATATGACTCTCGTTGGAAATTTGATGCTAAATATGATGTTGATCCTTACCCATGGAGGAGTTCATGTTCAATTTACGCGTCAGGAACAACTAACGTAAATATGAACACTTCTATAAGTTTCTTTGAAATGTACCAAAAAAGCGACTTACGTGAATTATTGCCAGAAGTACACACCAATTATGTATTTGGTAATAGTCCTAATGGCTACAATCACACGAGAAGAAATTTTAGGTCATATATACATTTCAATCGCACTAAAAATGAACCTGAAGAAATGGCAACTGGTATTTTAACACTAATAATAGAAGAGTTTACACGGGGAAACATTAGTGAAGTGGGAGCTGGAGTTATACACAGGATATGGACACTTAGAGTACCGGAAGAAAACAAATTTCCTTACCATCGAAATAATCAATCAATGACTGAAATTGTATCGGTACCCATTGTTGTTAAAGCACATACATGTGAGGTAACACGTATTAAAGTTGGTAGCCAGGGCAGTGTCAATTTATTAGGTGAAATTGCTGTTGCTTTGAATGTAGCAGGTGAATTGATTGGAAGAAAATACTTGACAGCACAAATCAAAGGTACCGATGATACAATATTGGAGTATACACCAGAGTATTGGGCATCATATATGGAAGTGAGAGATACATTGGGAGCAAGTGATTCAGATGTACCTGTACGAATGAATCCTGGATGCATTTCAATTCATCCCATATATATTTTCTTAGTACTCATATACACAATATTTATTTTCATTGGAATCATATTATTGTGGATAATATATAGGGATGGGTTGGAAATACCAGCTAATACTGTTAGTTGGGTTATTCATGCTTGCAAAGAATCTAACTTACCCAAAGAAGGACAGTTCACCAAAGCGGTCAGGAAAGCTGAGTTCAGAGGTTATATTAATGATAATATTAGAACTTTTTACAAAAATGATGAATCAACAGTATAATTGTCACGTGATTTTCATGTTTACGAAACGCGAGTAAACGAAACAACTTAAACTAAATACAAATTTAACACCTTATTTTTCGGCCAATTAAAAAATTTATGCATCATTTTAATTATTTTACCCTTTATCTCACACTCTAGACTTTCTTTTAATGGTCCTATTTAATACACTAATACTTTTTTGCGATTATTACTATAAATATATGCCTCCTAAAACAATTAAATCACTTTACCAAAAAAAATTTTCCAATGTTTTTATTTTGTTTTTATTTTCTGTTTATCACTACTATTCGAGGCGATTGATTATGTTTAAAAGTTAAAAAAACTTTGTAAATGTTTAGGAAATGATAATAATAATATATCCAATTGATCCTGGACATACATCCAATGTTAATATATTATAAAAAAAATTGGCCTGACAAAAAATTGAGTTTACTAACAGATACACAAGATAATTAAATAGAATTAGATTCATTGCCAATTTTTTGTAAGGTCAAACCAAGTTTTTCTTTTTTAAACTTGTTTAAATTTTTGTCTTTGAAATTTAACATGGAATTTTTTAACAGCTGCTCTAACACAAAAATATATACCAATTTGTAGCTTAAATTCCAAGGATTATTGATATAAATTTATATGTATTCATACTTTCTAGAACTTCATAAAAGAAAAATTTAAATGTAAAATTTTAATGTAAAGTTTTTTAAATCATTGTTCTAAAACCTACATAATAATATGTTCAAAGTTTTTATATGTAATAATTTAAAATCTCTTGACCCTCTGATATAATTTTTTTAATGTGGCTTTGGATTTTGGTTACTTTCTTTAGAAAACGTCAACTATTTTCGTAACACACTGTATATAAATAAATAAAAAACTGTACATATCTAGTAAATGAAAAACAAGTATTATTAGATAAATATTCAAGATGAATGTCGATCTTTAAACAATATAAATGCCCTCTACCTGTAAAGAAAGACTTTCTTAAAATTGAAATTGTAATATAAACAAATAGTTTTGTAATAGAGTAAAAGATATATGTGTGTATGTGTGTTTGATATTTAATTCATATATTCATAAAATTTATGAATTAATTGGTGAACTGATGATTTATAATTTTAAAAATCCCAATCCTTGATATTTTTTTAATAAATCTCCTAGTCTAATTTTTGATGAGCCTGTTAATTCTATTTTAAAAGGTTTAGGTCCATCCCAATTATTCATTAAAATTTCCAGTGAACTATCTAAATAGTAATACTATCACCAAAAATTATATTTAAATTTTTTGATGATGCTTGATTTTTAAGGCATTTAAAATTCTATCACCATTCAACTCATCAATTTTAGTAAGCCTAATAGATTTTAATTTAATGCAATTAATAAACATTGAAATTATTCGTTTGTCTAATTCATCATAAATAATTGATAAATATTCTAAATTTTGACAATATTGTGCAAGCGATTGAAGAAATTTGTCCAATGCTTCATTATCTGTCCAACTAACCCAAGCTTTCAAATTTTTAAGATTACCTCTGTTGATTTTTATGAATTCTGATAAATCTGATAGAAATGTCTGCTGATCATATAGTTGCAAGTCTATGTGGAAATAAAGTTGATTTCAATAGTTTATATCATCGCCTTTATTCCTTTAGATATTCTTAAAACTTTAAATTATGAAATGTTGGTAATATTATATGATCTATATTAATTTTTCCATTGCTAGTATAATCAATTATTGATTGTGAATGGACTAAAATTGCCTTTCCTAAATCAATTGATAAAACAAAATTATCATCTGAACTAAAATCTAATACTAGTGTTGAAATTTTATTTTGTGCTCTAATTAGCTGAGCTAGATTGTACTCAACCCCAGCATCGTAAAAAAATTTAGCACAAAATATTTTTAAAACTTGGAAATATTTGCTAATTTATCTAAATCGTCATCATTTATTCTAAAATAATATTCCAATTCATAAAGATTTTGAAAGCAAGTAATAATTTCACAATCAGCTTCCTGATATTTGAATGATCTAAAATAAATTTTTCTAATCTTTCTTTTAAACATCTACATTTAATATATTTAACATAAATATAAGCATAATTAGCTATCAGTAGTGGATAAATACAACTACCCAAAATCTAAAGCAATCCAACTCGGTTATAAATTTGGCATAATTACGTAATGGTGGTTTTTCCAACAGTTTAAAATCTAATTCAATGTCGTTGTTTGATAAAAATTCTTTATCTTCTACTAATATGCAGTTAATTAATATTTGAATACTGGATATAGAACAAAATGGGTTTCTTAATAAGATTGGAATATTAATTTTATGCCATTTTTTTTATTGACAAGAGTGCAAGAGTATAACTTCGAGTGGTAAATTCATTATTTGAAAAATTGTTTGTACAACATATTAATATTGTCGATCAATTCAATCGATTTTCCGAACATACATTTAAAAAATTATTAATAATACGGATCGTGATGAAATTTTTCTTTATCAAAATGTTTTCATCATCATCAAACAAGGATTAATGTCATTGAAAACGGATTCCAAAAACATAAAATACTACTATTTCTCGTGGTGTAATATGAATTGTAATGTCCCCTCATGAAAAATACAGTTGTGATAAACCTTAATAGAAATATCAATGATTTGCAGGTTACAGTATATAAAAGTAGTAAAAAAAAATTTATTTAAAGATAACCACTTGGTCTGACGCTGAATGAAGGAACTAGACACAAAAAAAATAAGTTGATTCGCAATTCGACCGCCAAACTTTTATATAACTTGTGATTCTAGGCATTTTTTCCCAATAAGATGACATTTTATTCCTCAATAATTCAACTGATAAATTATTTTTTATTATCAAAAAAATATAATCTCTTATTTCCTTTTCACCAGGGAGTTAATACTTGTGTTCTAGACAGTACGATGAAGGGTGTATGTAATCTTCTTTTGTGAGCACAGTTGTAAAGCTTGCGTGTACCCAGCCCTTCAACAATTATAACACCGGTTTTGTAATGATGATTCTGGTATAATATTTTTGCATTTTAAATTTAAATAAAAAAAACTTATTTTTGTTTTGTAAAAAAATCAAATAAATAAATATTAACTGTAACCCCTGGTATTGTTGACGACTAGTAGTAGTGGGAATAATTTCTGTTATAATCTGAATCATGTCTTTCAATATGCTAATAATAGTTGATAGGTTTATTATGATATTTATGGGTTTTTCATCACCCTTGTTATTATAACTGTCATTACCTGATGATCTTATTAAAAACAGTAAATAAATTTCCTTTCTAGTCCTTTTTTTAAAAACATGAGATTTTATTTTACAAATTTTACCTCCCGAGGTACATGGGTTATCATAGAATTATCTAGTATTTTGTCGTTATTATAGTTATGTTGTGGTTATTGTTACTATAGCTATGCTGTCATTATTGTTATTATTATAGCTACATTGTACATTGTCATTATTGTTGTTATTATAATCATATTGTCATTATTATTATAGCTAAGTTGTCATTATTGTTAATATTATAGTTATGTTGTCGTTGTCATCATTATTATTATTATAGTTATGTATTATTGTTGTTGTTGGAAAAATTCTTCCTGAAAAGTTTTCTATAATTCCGTGATAGTATATGTAGATCAAAACTACTAGTAAACTTTTTCAATAAACATATATAGAAAAAAAAATTGTATCTTCGAAAATAAAAAAGATACAAATTATGAAGTTAAGAGGGATTGTAATAAATATGATGGTCAACATAGTGACAGAGGGGTTTTTTTAATTTTATTAGTAAAGTCATCTAAAAATGTTTAAAATACAATTAAACTTTGAATTGAAGCATATAGGCTCGATAACTAAGCAAGATAGAGCAAAAATCTTTCTACGATTTTATTCTCTGTGTCTTAAAGAATAAGATGATAGACAACTTGTTAAAATTTATCAGTGAAAAAAGGACTTAAGGTTGTGCGATTTATTATAAAAAAATTTTCCTTCGAAAATTTTTCTTTTTAAAGAAAATGCTACCAATTTTTAAATAAAGAAACAACCAGCCAGCCCAGCTTTTTAATAAATTTTATTTTTGCATATACCTTAAGAGTTAAACTATTATAAAGATTTTAATTTAGTCGTTCATTTCAATTAATATTAATAAAAATTCATGATAACCGCATATAATAGTAATTTGTTATAGGATTCGTAAAATATGTCAGAAAAGATATCATGGCGAGGAAGCTAATTGATGATACTTTTGCTCCAGTACCCAATAACTAGATGTTCCATTACTTCTCCTCTGCACCCTTTAAGCACCATCCAAAATTTGTAAAACTATGCACTTGCTAAACAAGGAGATGGACATTGAAAATGACAAGTAAATGTATGGTTTTTCCATATACATTTCTGTGCATTTTATTATACATGAAAAGAACGCGCTTTTCTGTTCAGAAAATGATCTGAAAATACATTCCGTACATTTTCCGTGGATGTTTTTGTGGAAAAATACATGATTTTACGGAAAATGCACAGGAAAATGTACGAAATTAATTTTTCTTGCTAATTGTCATGTGACACTGTCTTTTGGGACTTTATGGTAAAATGTATGTCTCAATCAATTATAAACTTGGTACACACGTATCGTATTTGTTAGTTTGTGTAAAATTCCAAAATTTTTATTTTAATTGGAAAAATAATGAAATAAAAGTAACGATTAATTTAATGCTAATATTTAATTAATTGATAAACTTCTATTCTTCATACACACTACCATTTGCTATATTAATAGTATTATAAGCGGTTGGAGTGCAGTTAACAGTGTTATTTCCATTAAATTGAATATCATGACCGTTACCAAAGGTAGGCAAATAACTGGGAGTACAATAGATGCCAGATTGATTATTACTAATATGAAAAATAAAACTTTCATTTGCAATTTTATATTGACTTTCACTCCAACTAAGTGGATTATAATTAAGGTTTGTATTCACGGAGGTCACACACTATTAAAATTAAGTGCTTTTAAGGGATTTTTTGCATATTTAATAGTGTCAACCCCTTAACAGTATTCATGGTATTCGTGAATACAAACCCTAATTATAACCGCCAATGATTTGTTTGGTGCTTCGTATTTTACCAATCACAAGAGTTTTGTTCAATTTTTGAAATTCTAGATGATAATAAAAAAAACTTAAAGATGGTTGATCTTCGGGAACAATATAATAGTTTAAAAGTTTTAACCACAACTCCTTTGGGAAAAGGATTGGCAGTGTTGTGCCATTTATTGTCCCAACAAATTCTAATTGGAATTAGAACGTTCCAAAATGTGGTTCCAATGAAGTTAACCAATGAAATTCAATTAGAGTGTCACACACAAATTTTTATTGGTCTATCTACATTGAAACCATGTCGGAACATTCCAATAGCATTACAATGTTCCAATTGCACAACACTGGCATTTGGTAGCACAACTTTATTGAAGAAATCCCTATTAGAAATATCCTTGAATCGAATTAAATAAATGAATTCTTTTAAAGTGTTTCCTAAATGAGTGAAATTTTGAATCAGCAGCATTGTTATTAACACCCGGATGTTTTGCCAATCCCCATTTAAGAATGTTTTCCCAGATTTCCATTTCGTCGACAACTAAATCATCCCTTTTAAGAATTTCTAATAAAATCTGTTTTTCAAATGAATCGTATTCCGTTGACTTAATAATTTTTCACGATTGGTGCAAATGTCTTTTAAGCAAATATTTTTTAGTTCGTCGAATTTGCTGTATGAATAAATTAATTGAAGAATTTTGATTGGATTTTCTTTGATGTAGTCCTTTTTATCATTAACAAAATATTTCATAGTGTATTTGTAAAGTGATTCGAGGTCAAGCTCATCTGCAGCAATCAATAATTTTAATATTATATATTCATGTTGTTGTAAATTATAAATTATAAATTAATAGCAACAAACTTACTTCAAACTAGAGTGATGACAACCACCACCATCCTTATGATAAGCACTTCCTCATTTTGCACCTTATTATTTTCTTTTTTGATTCAATCATTTTGACTTCTTCACCCATTATGGATAATAAATTTAATGTTGAGATAATCAATAACAAATTATTTGCCTTAGAAGCAAAAATATATGAGAATAATAAGGAAGATTACTGCTTTTGACGCTTTCATCACTTTCGTCACTTTCGTCACTTTCGGCAAAAGTACTTATCATTTGCCGGAATACTTTCTACCTCCAAAATACTTTTGGCACCCAACCTTGATTCATTATTCATAATCGCTATGACTAAATGTATGGGCATAATTAGCGATAGTTTGGAAGATGATAAATGTTCCTTATGCCAAAATGAAATAAGACTTGGTGTTGATGAAATTGTAATTCAGAGATGCTGTCATTTTTTCATAATAATAATAATTGTTTTAAACATCAAGAATACCCAGAATGTAATTTTCGTATGATAAATGTTTCCTATGATAATAATAATATTGATACTAATACTATAAAGGATGTTTCATATAATACTAGTAATACTAAGAAACAAAAAAAAAAACCAATAAAAACATTACTTGAAGAATTGACCGTTGGAGAACCCGAAGTAGAAGTTATTGAAGGAGTTTAAAGACAACGAAAGTTTAAGATTGGTTCATTTGTATACTAAAGCAGGAAAAATGCAGAAAAACCATCATCGGAGCGAGACAATCAAAGATTATAACTTGGTACAATTTCTTGAAAGAATTTGAAAAAAATGTGAAAAAATTAAAAGATAATGATGGCATTACGGATAAGGTGCAGGGAACCATGTATATTCAGCTTTTAGAAGTCATTTTTCTGGTATTAATGACCATAATTTGTACAGTAAAGTTTTGAAAGCTAAAAAAATCTGCATACTATTTAACGGAATTGGTGTCGATTAAATCAATCTAGATTCGTTTTATAATTTATCATAGGTTATTATAAATAAGTTCACTTTTTGACCAAGCAAAAAATAACCGGTTGGCTAACTAACTAGTTAATTAATTATTCGATGTTTCAGTGCTTTGCTCATAAAATCAGGGGGAAAATTTACATTAGTTTGACGTTTTGTAAAATAAAATGATTCTTTTTCGCTTAATAAAACACTTTTGTGGTCGGGAATTGAACCGTGGGTTTAATTGTCCATTTTTCATCCAGAGTGGTTATTTGCTCTTCCAAGAAAGCAAAGGTCTGGCAACGTTGATTAACCAGTGTAGTGTTAACAACGGGTAGTAGGTTTTTGGAGCAGAGGCTTAATTTCGGTTTACGTTTTTTGTTTTTGTAAACGTTTTTGATTTTCTTTTTGTAAAAGTAAGTATTATAGTGTTCAAGCGATAAACGTGAGGTGCTAAACTGTTAGCAAATGTATAAAGTTTTAACACGTTGTTATCGATTAACCAAATATAAAGTGCCGACATTTATTAACTAAAGTCGGTATCGCATATTGTGTTAAAATAATTGTTGTGAACGTACGGCCGTTAATAGAAAAGTAGTTTAAATTAACTAAGATTTTTAGAAAAGCTTTTGTCGTTTTCTAAAAGGACCATATGTATTATCTATTGTAAATCATACCATAAAGTGCCCTTACAGATTGCCAAAGCTTTTTAGGTACAAGCAAGCAGAAAATGGTTTAAAATAAATTAATTTGCGAGCATTGAATATATATAAAACTTGCAATTAATCAACGAGTGTAGCTAAAAAGTTGATTCAAATTCAGTATCAACCAAACAAAAAAGCTACCTACCAATATATAGCCGTTAATTATAGATTACCCAAAACAAAAAATGAACTAAATGCTTTCATAATTTTTGTGCACAATTTAAAAAACTTGCCTTTTGTACCAATTATATTAAAGTTGTACAAATTAATTTTATTATTTTAATAAAAAAAAATGTCAACTTTAAATTTACCACTTGAAGTTTTATTTGACATATTCAAATACATTAAAAGTGATTATAAATCATTATACTCTTGCATCCTTGTCAATAAACAATGGCACAATATCAATATTTCAACCTTATGGAGAAATCCATTTCGTTCTATACTCAAAATTCAAATATTGATTAATTGTTTATTAGTAGAAGATAAAGATTTTTTAATAAAAAATAACATTGAATTAACTTTTCAACTATTGGAAAAGCCACCACTATATAACTATGCTAAATTTACAACTGAATTGAGTGGTTTTAGATTGACAAAAATTACTTATAAAAATCCACTGATAGCTAGTTTAAAAGAAAGATTGGTGAATTTTATTTTAGAACATTCAAATGTCAGGAGTCTTACTGGTCTTGATTGTGAAAAATTAACTAGTTCATTTGCTGATTGTAATAGTATTGTTACTACTTGTTTTCAAGATCTTTGTGAATTACATTTAATAGTTGACAATAATTTAAAATTTATTGATAAATTAGCAAATACTTGTAAAAAAATTCAAGTCTTAAGAATAGTATCCAGATCTTTTATTAATATTAATATTGATTATAGTCTAGCTCAACTAATTAAAGCACAACATAAAATTCAAAAGTTAATTATTGCTTTATACGATAAATTTATTTTATCAGGTGATTTAGTAAAAGCAATTTTAAATCATTCACAATCAATAATTGATTATTATAGCAGTAGAAAAAATAATATAGATCCTATAGTAATACCGACATTTCATAATTTAAAGTTTTTAAAAATAAATTATAGAAAAAGTGGTGATACAAGTTATTTGAAAACCGCTCTACTTCCAAATATTGAAACTATAGATTTAATGTTTAATAATCGGACATCTTTATCAGACTTATCAGGATTCATAAAAATAAGTGGAAGCAGTCTCAAAACTTTGAAAGTTAGGAGTCGTTATCAGAGAGACCATGAATATTGGGGAGAGCTTCTTCAATCAATTGCACAATATTGTCAAAATTTAGAATATTTATCAATTTTATATGATGATGAATTAGACAAACAGTTAATTTCAATACTTAATGATTGCATTAATTTAAAATGTATTAGTCTTACTAAATTTGGTGAGTTGAATGGTGATAGAATTTTAAATGCCTTAAATCAAGCATCACCAAAAAATTTAAATGCTATAATTTTTGATTGTAGTACTACTATTTCAGATAGTTCACTGGAAATTTTAATGAATAATTGGAATGGACCTAAACCTTTTAAATTAGAATTAACAAGCTCATCAAAAATTAGACTAGAAGATTTATTAAAAAAATATCAAGGATTGGGATTTTTAGATAATAAATCATCAGTTCATATATTCTATTAATACATATACAAATATGGCTGTATGAACTATTTTTTTCATGTAACTTTTTTTAATAAAAAATTTGTTAATGTTAAATTGCCATTTGAAGTTTTGACTAAAATATTCAAATACATTAAAGATGATTATTATATATACTCTTGCATTCTTGTCAATAAGCAATGGCATAATATTAACATTCTAACCTTATGGAAAGATTCATTTTATTCTAAAATCAGCATTTGAATATTAATTAATTGTCTATTTAATAAAAACAACATTAAATTAGCTTTCCAACCATTGGGGAACTGAATTAAATTTTTTTATAGATTTAAAAGAAATCCACTGATAGTTGTGATGATGTTTATGTTAAAATTAAATGTTTAGAAGAAAGGCTGGCAAGAATTATTCAAATATCAAGATGTTTAAACTATTTGTCATTTAGTGGCTGAGTAAGTTGATTGATGGTCTCTTTTCATGGAGAACAAGCCATATCTTTCAAAGCCACCATGAATGAATGGCCTTGGAAATCAGCTTTAAGAGAAAGCAAAAAAGAGGTGTAACAGTGGAACAGATGAAACAGATAAATCAAAAAGCTTAGAAATCAAAAATCCCAAAAAACAGTTTTCAAAATTGCCAATTATCCATTCCTGCTATAAAGAACATATTAAAATAGTTCTCTACAATCAAGCCAATATAGAATTATTTTTTCCTCCTACTTACTTGCTACATAGGTTATACCAGATAGTGCAAATAAGCTAAATAACTGTTGAGCTTGTTTCAAAGAAACTCATTCTAACTTGATAATTAACACTTGGTTGATGTGATAGTGAAACACCTTTTTAGATTATAGTCAACTAATATTTGTTCATCAGGATTTTCTTTATTACAAGCAATTCACCCAAATTTTAAACCATTGAAATATAGATGTCTCTTTAATCCGGGGGCTAGTCAAATATCTACTTTCACAATAATTATTTTGCCCGAACTCATTAAAAATCTTTTTTTATTTCAAAATATTAAACTTGCTTCTTTCATTTAACATCTATATTTATTATTTTTATGGGTTTTAAAAAATATAGGCATTGATTTTTAACTATTGAATATTTTCACAAATATTTGCTAATTATCAAAAAATTCACCACTATAAGAACTATTACAATCTATTCATAAAGATTCTGAAAACAATTGTTGAATCTACTATGATGATTAATTAATAAATTCCAATCATATAATTAGTACTAAGCTTTCTTATCTTATACCTGCTGAATGATCTAAAATAAGTTTTTCTAATTTATTTGTACAAGATTTGATGCTCAGGGATTGAAAATCATCATAATTGTAATGTATAGTACAAAATTTTATCACAATCTATTTTACCAAAGTTTTTAAATATAATGCTTTTTAACTTTGGACAATTATTAAGTATTTCAATTGATTCCTGGTCTAATTCATCCTTATACATTGTAGACAAATCTTCTAAATTTATACAATGTTGTGCAATTGATGAAATCATATGGAAAACCACCAACATCTAAATTTTAAAAAATTTTCCATTTGTATTAATAAAATCAGACAAGTCTGATAGAAATGGTTGAGAACTAATATATAGATTCGTTTTCACAGATTCAATATTTAGCAGTGAAATATTTTTCAAACTTATTTTGTCAACACAAAATGATAATTTTAAAGTCATTAAATTCTTAAAAGTTGGTAATAATAAATTATTAAAATTATTTCCATTTCCACAATGAAATCTATAAAAATTATTGATTGTGAATGTGTTAATATTGCCTTTTTTAATCCATCTGTTAACATGTTTATGTATGAAGAGCTGGGTAATCAATAAAGCAGGAGATTAGAGTATAAAAGTTTTTCAACAATGTATGTTACATTTGTGATATAAGCAATCTGATTGATAATATGACCAATTTGAACTGGTAAAATCTGCCCCCTGAATATTTGTTTTATATTCATTCAATAAATTAAGTTTAGTGTATGGATAAATCATTAAATTGATTATTCAGTGAATGATTATTCATTGATTATTCAGTGGATCTTTTCAAATTAATATTAAGTTTTATTCTTTTTTGAAGTTATTGTATTTCCAGCCTGACTAAATAAACTCTCATTCGGAGTGGATGTTACAGGTAGATAATAGCTAACTTTAATAAAACAGAAAATATATTTTTATTATGTTTCACAACATCTTTCCATATCCACTTTGACTTCTTAGAGCAACCTTTACTTTGCTTTTCTTCAAAATATGAGCAGCAGAGGACGTCTCTCCTCTCGTTGTTGTATTATTACTTTCTCCTATTATAGTGATTGAAGGCTCTTCTTTCATTTTAAATGAATGGAGCGAGATAATTAATTTAATTAATTAGAAATGAACAAACAGATGAATTAAACAAGAAAAACAAGGATTCGTTTCAATTCGGTTGGTTACACGAGATATTGATTATCACTTTATTGAATTTATTACTATTATGTTCTCAATGAAAAAAATCAAATAACTGATTAAACCAAATAAATATTCACTGAAATATTATTCATTGTCAAATGATTTTCAAAAATTTACTTATAATTACACGAAAAAATCACGAGAATAAATGTTTGTATTCATGTGATGTTCTTGTATAAATAATTAATTATAAATGATATTATAAAAATAGAAAAACAAATATAACACGAAAATACGAAGAAAAAAAAATCTGAATCAAAGGACAGAAGACGAAAAAAATTAAAAATTAATTAAAAAGCATATAATACAAAAAGCAAATAAACCCCAATCAACTCACATCTCTTCCTCCTTTACAGATCCTCTAAAATTAAAATTACTATATATATGGTACATACATTACATGTATATTGACAAATATCTTTATTGTAGATTTGTAATGAAACATATCTCCATTTTCATATGCGGACGACTAAAAAAACAATTAAATTAAAAAACACACATTTCAAAAAATCCAAGAAACATTAAATCCAAATTGATTTTACCTTTCTTTATTAATGGTAATATCTGAAATTTTTAGTTTTGTGCTTTTATTTTTATTGAAACTTCTTGTATTATTTTGTATTTTGAATGGCCTGTATGAACTTTTAGATAGTTTTTGCATGTAAATATTCTTAATAGAATTGGGAGTTCTACGGTTTCCAATTTTTTTTGCAATATCTCTCCATCTGCATTGTTCTTCTTCACGTAATCTAATGATCTCCAATTCTTCTTTACGATCAAATGGATCTCTGTTTACTATTATTATTGTAATGATGTTATTATTTGTATATTTCATATATTTATAAAGTATTTATGTAAATATATTACTTACTACCAAGTCTAAGATGCCCATCCCATCTAAAATATATCATATTATATAAAGTTATTGATTATTTATTTAAAATTTAAAAAAAAAAGTTAAAATACACAATTTACCTTTCCCTACATTGCTTAGGATTTCGAGTTTTCACATAACTTGCAACATCTTTCCAATTTCTTGGACCATTTCGGTTTACATATTCAGTCAACTTAAGATCTTCCTATATGATTTATTATGACAGAACAGATCAATTAATTAATTTACTTATAATAATAAGATGATAATAATAAGATGATAATGAACGGTATATAATTACCACAGTACTCCAACGACCTTTTTGACATCTTTCGGTAACTGTTTTTTCAATCATTATTAAAACCTCACTATAGAAAGAATCCAAGTAAAATTTTTCTAAAATTCTATTTGTTTTTATTTATGAAAAAATTAAGTAGCGTGCAAAGTCAAAGACTAAAGTGAAAATCATGTAAAAATTACAATTATTTTAATTTTTTTAGAAATATTTAAGACAAAAAAATTTTTTGTTCTCAAATAAAGTACAAGTTTTAATTGATTATATTTATACAATTTTTCCATAATCACTAGCCCATTTTCTAATGGAAGGAAAAAATATATAATCATCTGATATCAATATTATTTATTTGTTGATCACTAATTTAAGTGTTGCAAAAAGTTAAGTTTTGGTTTAGTACTAGGCGCCAATTTTTTTTCGTCAAAACGATAAATATGAATTTCGTCAATTGATTAAATTCAACAATTTTTGTCTTCTAAATTGTCATTAATTCTATCCTAATTCATAAAGATTTTAAAACGGCTTAGTAACAATATTGCAATCAATTAGTTTAAACCTTCTGATAGTCTAAATAAATCTACTGACCTCTCTTTAAACATTTAAATTTAGCATGAGCATCATCAGCAATTATTTTTAATAAATTTAAATAAAAATTAAATTAATGTAATTATAATTGATTGAGTTAAACATCATACAAATTGATAAAAAGATACTAGTCATACGAGACATTTACATAGTAATAGTAATAGTAAATAAAAATGTGATGTTTTGAATTTTGCGTGACAAAATTGTATTGTTTTTTAAAATTTTTTTTTTTATTTTCATTTTAAGCCAATAAGCAACGTTTACTTGCTTTTCCGATCCTATGTTACATACACTGTGTTTCAAAAAAAATGGCGCCAAAATGTAATAGTAAGTTTA